CTCGTAGTGCCCGCAGCCACCAGCAGGACCCAGGCGTGCCGGGCCCGAGCCCCCCACCCGTCTCCAACCCCTCAGCCATCCGCCTCCCTGCCGCCCTGCGGGGAGAGCCCCCGGGTCCCGGGCGGCTCCCCTGGATCCCAGTCCCACCAGAGTTCGGAGCACGTGGGGACAGCAGGAACGTGCTGGAGGGCTCTACAGCCCTCCCTGCCAACAAAAGGAGCAAACTCGGAGGGGCTGAGCCAGCTGGAGGAATATGGCAGTTGACTTGCCACTTTGTCAGGCATTGGTCCAAACTAATTTCACTGGCAGAGAGCCCGTGATGACTAGATTGATAAATCTGAAGAGGGAAAGCAAATTAACGCTGGAACAAAAGGGGAACTGGGGAAGGGTGAAAACACTCCTCTGGCTTCAGGAAAGGAAAAGGGGATTAAAAAAAAAAAAAAGAAAGAAAAGAAAGGCAATCCATTTGCCTCCAGGCTCCAGTTCCTGCTGTCTCCTCCACACTCCCTCCGGCGTCTGGGGCCCCAGGGAACCATTGCTGGCAGGTATGCACACAGGGACTGCAGGATGCAAGGCCAGACTTCGAGAGGTGCTTTGGGATCACTGGGAGGAGGTTCCGCCCAAGGTATCTACCAGAGCTCAGTACCACATGTCCTGACAACTGCTCAAGCCCTTTGCAAGGTAGTCCCTCACCCACAGCTGCGCTAGCTCTCCCATGCCACTAACAGGGACACAGAGACAAGGGAGATTGAGCTGGGGTCTGTTGGAAAACACTCACCTGCTTGTGCATTTCAATGTTCAGCCCGTAGGACATTTCATAATACTGAAAGGAAATCACAGGGCAGCTTGGTTAGGATTTGCCCTGAGCAATCAGCCCATTTCAGCCAGGGGTTTAACATCCAGTCCATCTCTGCTTCCCCTGTCAAACTTCCTCTAGCATAACCCTGCTGCTGCGGTCCCTGCTCTGGCCAGCCCCAGGGTCCAGGGAAAGAGCTGAGCGAAAGCGATGGGCTGACGCCCGCCCAAACTCATCACACCGTGAGTTCCAACCAACGCCTGGGACGAGCTGGGGGTGCCGCCGAGGTGCAGACTGTGGATTATACCCTAGATTCTGCATTAGCATAGACCAGTGTGTAGGTCAGACCGGAGGCAAGGAAAGGGGGTCCTATCCTGGCCTGTCCCTTCCTGCTCCTAACCCAGATCGACTCCCTGATGCAGCTTCCCATCTAGTCACACGGGCTGTCATGCCCGTGCAAAGAAAAAGATGACGTAAGGTTACCTCTTTCACCAGCTGAAGCCAATTGCGACTCTGGCAGTGGTGACAGCCAGCAGACTTCTGTCCCACCTCCCCTGAGGCCGGGGAGAAGGCGGGCAGTGAGTTCAAAGCTGCCCCTGGGGCCAGAGGACCTGCTTTCCTCCAGCAAAGCCCATCTCAGACACAGCAACCCACCTCCAGGAGTCCCCGAGGTGGCGAGAGGTGGGAGAGGCTCCCAGCTGATGGGGTGGCACTAACACATCCTGCCATGCTGATAAATCCTGATACCCCCGGCCTCAGGAATAGGGCAGCCATCACCCAGGGGATGGGGTTGCCCAGGTTTAGGTCTGTTTGTTGTTGGGAGGGGGGATAATTTGTGTCTCCCCCTTCCCCTGGAGGGGCCGGTAATGTCAGATGCAGAAGGAGAGGTAATGTTACTCCAGTTCTCCAATTCTCATTTTCCTAGCTTCCGGCCAGCAGTGCCACCCCTCCTCCTGCCCCAAGCTGCCCAGCAAGAGGCCTGGCACGCACCGGTGGGCTGGCCACTGCAGAGGGGTCCTGCCCTGCTCTTTTTAAAGGCAGTTTCCCCTCCCATCCAAAACACCAAAACATCAGCCTCGGGGTATCACTTCCAAGACATCCCCTCTTGGCAGAGAGACAGGGAGGAGACCTTTATCTTTAAGAGGCCAAACAGAAAAAGGGAAAAAAAGAAAATAAAAGAGAAGAAACCTATGGCATGATTCCTGGGCTCAGACAGCATCAAGCACGGCAGCAGACATCAGCAGAAGAGCCAGCCCGTTGCTAGGAATACAGATTAACTCCTTCCTAACTCACGCCCCCAGCCCCAGGACAACCTTGTAGGCCAGAGATCCGCTTAGCGGCAGTGGCCCGCAGAAGTCCGCGTCTCAGCTGGGCGAGCAACTGAGAGGAGCTCCGGCCCCGGGCCCTCGCCAGGAGGGCTGGGGGGCGAGGACACTTTGGGGGCGTGGAGGACAGCAGAGGGGGGACTTACCATGACATAATGTCTCTGCATCTCGGTCTTCTCACTCACCAGCTTCTCGCATTCCAGCTTCAGGCTGCAAAGAGGATCCCTGGTTTTCATTCACGGACCCACCTCCCCTGCCCTGTCCCCCTGTGTCCACCCCCACCCCAGGTCTCAGAAAGCTTGGCTCTTCTACCTTTCTCTCCCCCGACTCCATCTCTGCCCCCAGAGTTTCATGGCACCACAAGGGTGTCACGCACCCATCGCTGACTGCTGCTGCCGTCCTGGTCCTCGGTGCCTCCGGAGGGACCTGGACCCGTGGGGCTGGCTGCGCCGTGTGCCGCCCATGCAGCCCCTGCTCCCCTCGGGACTGCTCCATCTCAGCCCACCCCTTGCTCCATCTCCGCGGCACGGGTCCATCTCCCCTCCACGCTTCCCTACGCCCGGCTCGGCACAAGCCTTGGGGCCCCCTCAGGACCTGGCACCCCAATTCCCAGCCTCAGTCTGCCCCTCAGTCTAGACCCCTCTCCCTGCGCACCCCGATCACCCCTTCACCAGGACCCCTCTTCCATCCTCTCCTGCCCCTAATGCTCCCCTCAGTCCGGCCCCCATTGTCCTCCTTTGCCCGGACC